TCGCCGCCCTCCAATCCACCACGGCGCGGTGGAGGCAGGTCGAGGTCCGCAAGTTGCTTCAATGGCAAGGCTCCACTCGGCGTGAAGACATATGAAAGCTCTGTGCAGCGCTTCCAAAATTCAGCAAGCTCCGAGTCTTGATCCTTGACCTGAATCAAGCGGGAAGCCAGCTGGTGGGTGAGCGCGTCGGGCTCCTTTTGCAGGTTGGACGCGTAGGTACGGATGAGATGCTCGATTGCGCGCAACCACGGAGTCGTTTGAGCGGCAGGTATCAACTCAAAATCGCTGAGTAGTGGCCCCAAGCCGCTGGTGCGCAGGCGTCCTCGCAAGTAGCCAGGTTGCTGCAAAAGGTGCATCAGGCCAGCAGCACCATTCGCCGCATAGGCGTGTCGTGGCAATGTGTCGAAGGCAAACGCTTCCTTGGGAGTGTCAAAGACGTCATCGTCTTCAGGATCTAGAATGGCTTCGTAAAAGTTGGCCAAAAGGAGATGCAAGGCTTTAACCTCCACTTCATCATTTAGGTAGCGCTGTTGCACAACCTTGAGGATGGGTTCGTAGGCAATTCGCAAAACTCCGCTACCGCTCGACACGTACATGCGGATGCTGCTGTAAAGACGTGAGTAGGTGGAAATGCGCTCAGATTTGTACTCGTAGGCTTCGAGCAAGGCAACCAGGTGCTGTTCCAAAATACCTTGTGCTGAACTGCCAATGAGGCTCAGCACAAGACGGACGAGCTCTTCACCGTGATCTTCCTCCAAGCGTACGATAATAAACTCGAAGAGCGGGGCCAATGTGTGTGGAAGCTCTCGAAGATAAGTCGTGACTTTCTCGTACACGCCAAAGGAAACCAGCTCAGAGGCTGCTCCAAGCAAGTACAGTGGATTGCGCGCTTCCTCCTTCAGCATCAGCTCCTTCATCTGGTTGCCCAGCAGGCCGTTGGAGTCATCCTCAGTCAGCTTTTTGTGGTAAATGTCGAGAAAGTTGCGCACAAGCTGTGCGCCTTCGTCATCAGACAATGAGTCCACAGTCACGACCTTGGGCGACATCCGCTGGAGGTTGCGATAGGTTGGGTGACCCTCCGTAGTTGAAAGAATGACTTTGACGGTTGATGGAAGGGATGCAGAGAGCCACTCCATTCGAAAGCTGTCGTGCAGAGGCAGCAGGTTTTGCAAACCATCGATAAAGACAATGACCCGATCGGTCGGGTTCTTGCGCTTGCCTGCCTCGGACAGTATGCGCGCCCAAGTACTGCGCAGGCCTAGAGCATGCAGCAGAAGGGCGAGAGTCAGGAACAAACATGGCCCCAAGATTTGAGCCATGGACGAGGTGGACAAAGGTTTATGCAGGTATGCCTAGGGCTTGATGACTAACCAGAGCCAAGCTTAACGTCATTCAAGAACATTGGATTAAGCGTCACCTTTGACAGGGCCAAAACAAGGTAGCGCAGGTCGCTTCGGAGGTCGAACGAGCTCGGGTTGATGCCAACGAAGAGTTTGACAACAGAGTAGTTTTCATTTTCTTCACAACGAGCAGCCAACTGAGCCATGAGGGCGCTCTTGCCAATGCCTGACTCGCCCGTCAGAACCAGAGGCGCAGTTGCATCACTGGCCACATAGTCAAGCAGGTCGCCCAGCATCTTCTCGCGGCCAACAAAGCCGTGTCGAATTCTAGCAGATGTTCCCCCACCCGTGCAACAGCCAACCATTTAATCACTGGACAAGCAAAGAAAAGAAAGGAAGAAGAAGAAAAATCAACAAATCATGTGGATATCATGCAACACGAAACGAACCGCCGAGAATGAAGTTCATGCTGAACTTCCAAAAGGTCTTGTTCGTCCAGCTCGCCCGTGTACGCAGGATATTCGGCGTCAATGGCTGCGTACAAAAGATTGAACAACTTGTCCGCAAAGAAATCCATTTGGCCGACAGAGCCTGTTCCAAAGCGCTTGCCATTGGGCAAACGACCTGTTTCCTTGACCTCGATGGGTTCTCTAAGGAAGAGAAAATTGATGTCATACAGCCAATGAGGTTCGAACACGCCGTTTGTTGTTGGCAAATAAAAATATTTTGGCATTTCATCGCTCGTACTCAAAACTGAATAGGCACGCACGACTCACCCAGGATGATAGTCAAAGCTGATGGCACGATCAGTAGCACTGCGAATCTGATGGCCCACACAACCACCAGTCACACATAAAGGTCACCAGAGCACGTGAGATGCAAGAAACGCAATGAGGCTGAGGCTGAGGCTGATGGAATGCATCACTCACCTGCTTGGTCAGAGTTTCTAGATCTTTGCGGTATTGGGAATAGAGCGGCGTTTTTGTGTACTGATGCTCGACCACGGCTGGGATATCCGCATCTTCTGGCTTGTATTCAAAGTCGAAGATCCACTGCCAGTCTGATTCAACGTCTACGCGAGTCCAGTGTTTTCAACGCTGAGTCTCGAAGACAAGTAACACGAAGAAACAAGGTTTCACAAAAGTGAGCCCCTTCAAGATCCTTACTCTTGATAAAGCCGGGGTCGCGAAAGGCAAAGAAAGCATGGGGCTGCTGAATATTGGCTCCTTCTGGGCCCAAAACAGCATGCCAAACCTTGAACATGACCAATACACGCAGGCCCAGCAGCATGAGCTCGCGTGTATTGATTTTCTCGCATCACTTTGAATCAACAGCACGCGATAAGAGTCGGAAAGCAACGCACCTCCATGCTGGTGATGGACAGGCCGGCGGGATGCTCCTTCTTGACACCGGTCATCCAATCAAATCGATCCGGCTCGTTGAAGTCAGATGGCTTGTTGAATTCGGTTTGAACCCAGCCATATCGCTCCGAGCTGTCGAAAACAAAAAGGAGATGAATCATGTTGTATTCGTGACAAAAGCGGCATGAAAAGATCAAAACGCATGCCTTGTGGCCTCGAGGTAAAATGGCTACACTAACCGCAAGCCGAGAAACCATGGCATCTCATTGGGGTCGTTGCGACACCGATCAATTTCGTCCAGACATGTGCGCTGGATCGTGGTAGCTTGCGATTCCTCGGCAGAAACACCCCAACCTAAGTAAGGATGGTGAGATGGTGAGAGCAAGCAAGGACGGCGAGTTGGTCAGAGCGGAGAAGCCGCAGTCGTGGGAACGAGGACAGGGTCACAAGGTTCCGAAAAGAATCCGAGTATACCCACGTAAATCCACAGGGATGACCTGAACATCGCGGTCACCGAGTGCCTTGTTCAAGGAAGGAAGAACCTAATCACGATCCGTAGGCAATGAGATGAGAGCAAACCAGGTGCCCAGTTCACGATTGTAGGAATGCAAGTGGTCGTAATGGCAGTCATCCCACATGTGGCAGCACTGAGGTGCATCAAAGCATTTGCTCACCTTGCGAATGAGCGTGTCACGTTCACTGTGTGTATCCACAAAGGTGGACGAAATGAAGAGACGGATGGTGATAACCTGCCAAGCAAGCGAGTGGTGTCAAGGCATAGACTGAGCATGCATGATCAGGCAGCTCTGAAACGGGCAGTTGTCAGCAATTGGAAGTACCTCGCCACGCAAGCGTTCTTTGGGAACGACGTGCTCCATTTTAACAAGCTCAGCACTACCACCCAGCGTGTGCTTGCGAGCCAGGCCTGCATGGCACAGCTGTCGCTTGCTCATGGAATTGATGCGACTGATGCGGCGTCCGGTTTGTTGAGCAGAGCCTGCAGGCGAAGCTGGTGAAGCAGCGGGCGAATCTGAGACCACTGCAGACGCTTTCGTGTCAGCCTTTGTAACGGAAGGGCTGGTAACTGCAGGCTCGGGCTTGGGTTCGGGCTTGGACTCGGGCTTGGACGCGGGCTTGGGCTCGGTCTTGGGCTCGGTCTTGGGCTCGGTCTTGGGCTCGGTCTTGGGCTCGGGCTTGGACTCGGGCTTGGGCTCCGTCTTGGGCTCCGTCTTGGGCTCGGTCTTGGGCCCAGTCTTGGGCTCAGTCTTGGGCTTCGACTCGGAGGTAGTTGCAGATTCGGGCTGCTGTCGAGTTGATGCCTTGGGCTCTGAGGCCACGCTTGCACTTGGCTCTTGAACTGAAGCAGAAGCCGATTGCGACGGATCTGTAGTATGAGCCACCGAGCGTGGCGAATTGATGGCACCCGAAATCGGGTTTTGCTGACTAGCACCATTAAGGGCCATCCAGCGCTCGGCCTCAGCCTGAGACTCAACATAGCATGCAAAAGCAGGAAGCGACTTGTGGGTGAAGACAAGAAGAACTTCATTTGCAACAGCTTTTGGAAACTTTGCTTTGCCTGTCAGCACACGCACATACAACACACACATGAGTGGCTGGCACAAGTGCTTTGCCTGGCTGGACTGTGGCAGAGAATGAGAGAAGATAGACAGACTCAACGGGCAGACAGCCGGAGAGAAAAGAAGGGCAGAAAAATAGAGACTGAGAGACAGAGGGAGAAACTGTACCTCGGCAGACCTCGCCAGTCACAACTGCATCGTAAGTGAACTGGCTTGTGGCTTTGCCCCCTTGCTTCGCATGCACGGTGGCACTGCCGCCTGTGAATCGTGCAAATTTGAACAACACGAACGGAAATGAGCGATCCTGGCCATGGCATGATCAAAGCGCAAGGAGAGAAAGAAAAAGGCGCCCTTGACATGCGTGCGCGTGCTTGTGAAGGGACGCACCAGAATCAGCCGTCAAGAAATGCTTCTTCCATTTCTTGAAAACACCCTTGCCTAACGCCAGGGCCACAAGGTGAGCTGCATGTGGTTTCCACACGATCAAGAACAAGACAAGCAGCAGAGCTGATTGCTGAAGGAAACCTTACCGAGGCTGAAGACATCGCCCTCGGTCGCCATGGCGGGCGTCGTGAACAAGATTGTCTGCGCTGTAACCGGCTGAGAGTGCATGAATGAGAAAGGGTCGACTCACGATTGAAATCAAATCAGTGTGTCACAGGCGCGATCGCAGCACAAACAAGCGAAACTCGAAGCACTCTTTGAACACCTAAGAATCAACCCTGAAGGCGCAGGGTGATCCCCAAAGAGCCATTTCCATCACAGGCCAAACAACAGACGCTGACCTGTGCTCCGTGAGCTTTGAGCCGGGTTTTTGATTTGAGCGTCGCGCCCCGCCCCCCTCGCGTCAAACGACCAAAGGGAAAACATAACGCCAGCTCACCACACACACACACACATACACACACACGCTTGCTCTCTCTGTCTGTCTGTCTCTGTCTCTCTGTCTCTTGTCTTAGTCTCTCTGTCTCTGTCTCTCTCTGTCTCTGTGGCTTTTTGCTGTTTATCGTCCCTCTCCCTCTCTTCCTCTCTCTGTCTCTCTCTGTCCCCATCTCTCTCCCTCTTTGATTTTTGATGACTTTTTTCTGTTTGCTATTTTTGGTGGATGTTGTGTTTTTTTTGGATGACGACGGACATTCTTCCCTGCATGCAAGAGGGTCAATTCGAAATCGGGAACATAGGATAATGGGGTACAAGTTGATGAACGGAACAAGTGGCGCTCGGCTCAGCCTAAGCAAATGATGAGACTTGGTGCAGAAAGGGTCATCTAGTCACCCGAGCGAGCCTCAGGGTTGTGGGGCTGCTTGACAAACCACATGATTGATCTCGAGGTACTGGCAAGCAAGCGTTCCATTGGGTTCAAATCCTTCAGCACATTGCACAGCACAGGTTGCACCCTCACTCAGGCCAGCCTGCCCGTTGCAAATGCCCGAGGCATTCGCGATTGGTGGGAGAGGATAGCAGAAAGGCGGCGGTTGGATGGACGCCGCAAGCACCGCGCCCACGACAAGCAACGCAATGAGACCTAGCAGCAACAAGCAACGATTCCGACGGACTGCCCACGGCAGATCCCGCCATGCCAGACTTTGAGATACCCGTATAAAAGTATCTTGCTCCACAGGCAACAGCAGAGCTTCTGGATCCCCGTCGTCTTCTTGAGTCACATCTTCATCCCCATGCTCTGGATCAGAACCATCATCGGGCTCCAGAACTGGTTGCTCACTGCGTGGGTGGTTCAGTGATGTTTCCGAGTCAAATGTGACTTCAAAAACACGACCATCCGGCTGGCACTCAGTGCCACACTCTGATGGAGTGCTCATCTCCTTCAGCAGTATAGAAGGCGATAATGAAGATACTGGCTCCGCAGGGATCTTTGCGCGTTCTTGCGCCATCTGCGCCTGTTCTTCCCAGTTCAAGGTCGACACGCGCACTAGCATGGCAATAGTTTGAAAGGCAACTCCAAGAAACATGGCCATCCATAAGCCACGCACTGTTGTCCCATGTGCATGTAAGGAAACAAGCGGAAGATGCATAGCATGAGTCAGCGAGTCCTTTCAGCCAACGGGAAAAAACGACAGCACCACCTCGCCCTTGACCATCATCATCATTTCGCCCATCGGCACAAAATCAGACTTACCACCCATGTGCCCTCGATAAACAAACAGATAGATCGAAGGAAAACTAATGCAGTAGTATCCGACTGCGTTCACGATGGCACCAAAGTATTGAAGGCCACAGCCACGCAAAATGCCTGACAGTGTGCCTTGCGTGTGATCAGCAAAAATGAACGCGACCAGAATCTCAATCACACCGGCCACGGCATCAATGACTTCCGCATCCGACGTGAACGCCCTCGGTATCAATTGCCGAGTCAGAAAGAGGGTGATTGACAGCATAGAGGCTTTGGTAGGGAGGAATTAAAAAAAAAATCAGTTTATGAGGGCAAGAGCGGTAGTTTAGTGTGAGAATAGCAAACATCAGACGGACACGGTGTAGACCTTCAACAGTCGTGGCAGTCGGACATACATGTCAGCAGGATAAACCCTGCACAGGACCAAGCTGCTCGTTTGGCTGCTTGCGGCTTGTTGCCACCAAGAGCATTGCCGACCTGAACGCTGGCCGCTATGACGCCAAACGGCACGAAAAAAAAAAAAAAGAAGAAGAGCACATCAGGCAAGGGCGAGCGGACCGATGTTTGCAGAACTTCAAAAGCCAAAGGAGCTTACCCACGCCAATGCCCAAAGGAACCACAAAGAGGAATCCGGCCAGCTGCAATGTGATCAGTTGTGTGGCCAGAAACACTTCCCCCATCGTTCCAGCGATGACTTGAATGATCTCGAAAGACCACCATTCGATGCACATCTGCTCAACATCACGATACGACCAGGCAAGTAAGTGGACCCGAAAACAGCTGACGTGTAAGATGCAAAAGTGGGGGTGAAAGCTGATGAGTCGTCATTTGAATATCCTCAGATTGTGTGACAAAACGTACCATCAGCATGCCTGGAATGGCAAGCTTCAGAAAAGGAGACCAGTCCAAGAAAGCACCCGCCGTCCAGCCTGTCCAGGTGCCTTTATAAAGTCGTGTCTTGTTGATGTAGGCAAGCGAGATGAACACACCTATCCAAGCTGTGATTGCCTGTCCAGTCCATCAAAGCAAGGTTCAACACAAGGAAGCAAGGAGAGACGAAAAGGAAGGCCAGTGAGAATACAGGATCACCTGCGACATGACCAAAGTGTCCTGCCAATGCACCAGTGCGTTCATCTCGAATTGGCACGTGAGTCAGAACTCCAGAAACGGTTCAAGGCACGCTACCTGAGCAAGAGCGGCACCAAAGGCCCCTAATCGGAGCCCGCCAATCAGGGTCCAGCAAATTGGTAGGTTGAGGATGTTGAGCACAATTCCAATGACAAAAAGCGGTTTGACAATCTCCAACGTCTGTGGATCAAGCCGATGCATATGTATCAAGGCGTTGCTCAATTCAACGCAGACGGATTGACGTATACTAAAAACGCATTTGCACCTGAAGATATTTCTGGATGAGCACATTGAGGATAGCAGCTGGCATGAAGAAAATACCGGCTCGCAAATACTGAGCAGTAAGCTGCGCCACCTTTGAGTCATGGGCATGCATGCCAGGACAATTGGCACTCGCATCAGCATTGCGATCAATTCTGGGACAAAATCGCTGCTCAGCCCGAAGGATGTGTGATGAGACACTTACCTTTGGATCTTGGTGCAGTGCCAAAAGAACGTTTTCGCCATTGAGAAAGATGGTCCAGGCTGGAAAGCAGACAAGTCCCACGATGATAAGGGCTCGGATCATGATGAGGCCGACCAATTGATTCTGCCCGCCTCCGAGCGCTGCAGAGAGCCACAAACGCATGCAGAAGCAAAGAAGACAAGGAATTCCAACCAGTAAGATACGAGATGCGCACAGAGCGATGACAAGGTCGGTGTATGAGCAAGAACACATGGCGCATTTGGCTCGCACAGTGGAGGAGGAAAAGCAGGCATATACCTTGAGGAGCGAGGGTGTCCACGGCAGAAGCAAGACCTTGACTGATGGAAAGGCCAAAGATATTGAGAATGCTGGCACCGAGACCGGCGGCGTCAAGGGCAGCCGTTTCGTTGAATTGGCCAACAAAAATAGTGCTCACCAACTGCAACAAAAGTTGCAGCAGCAAGGTAAGAACAACGGGCCAGGAGAGCTCGAATGTCGACCGCAACTGCGAAAGGAAGCTGGTGCCAATGAGCCCAAGGCCTGGCTCAGGCAGCTGCGGTCCTTCCTCGGATGCAGCGCTATCATCATCATCATCATCTTGCTGTCCAAAATGAGGTGACAAAACTGCTGTGTCCACACTTGTCTCCGCGGTAGTGTCACCATCACCGGCATGGCCCGTGGCTGCCATGGTTCTCTCGTGCTGGGCAAATGACACGCTTGACCTCGACCAGCTCCAGGCCACATAGAAAAGTGCCAGCTACCTTCAGCTGTCTCAACTGGCACCACCAGAAGCCCAGCGGCCCCACGGCTGGCGTGGGTGTCGCCGTTACCAATTACAAAACGCTCATGCAAACGCAATGCACATCGATGTTGTTGCTAAACATCACCGTCATCAGCGCCGCCGATCCGTCGTCGTGGTCGTCGTGGTCGTCGTCGTCGTTCGTTCGTACGTTCGTTACGAAAAAGTGAACTGGCGAACATGTCCGCAATCACACACACACGCGCACACTGTATGGATTTCTCCTCTCTCTCCTCTCTCTCTTCTCTCTCTCTCTCTCTCTCTCTCTCTCTCTCTCTCTTCTCTCTCTTCTCTCTCTTCTCTCTCTTCTCTCTCTCTCTCTCTCTCTCTCTCTTCTCTCTCTTCTCTCTCTTCTCTCTCTTCTCTCTCTCTTCTCTCGATGTGCTCGGTTGTGTCTTTGCTGTTTTTTATTCCTTTCTCGAAAAATAAAACTTTTTTTCCCTTATTAAATTT